CAAAATTAAAATTCTGTCATCATTTACTCACCTTTTATTTTGGGGTGAACTATCCTTTTAAGGGATGAGATGGCATTCCCTTTATGACATGATTTTTATCCATGCAGGTTTATTAAGGGTTACATCACACGACGTGAGGCAAAAACTACTGACAACTCTGAATACCTGGCCTTCGTTCGACAGAGCTACCTAAATAGACTAAAAAACAACTTACCAAGGACTGTCCTGGACAAGACCACATGGCTGACACCTCCCCCAGTCATGACAGAGGTATTCAGAAATTCTGAGGTATTCAACAGTGACCCCAAAATATTTGAACACTATGGTGTTCTAAGTGGTTTACATAAAAAATCATAACAATTGTAGTCATAAAAAGAATACATAAAAAATAAAAAGCAATAAAAAAACAATACAAAAATAAAAAAGGTAAAACAAAAATAACATTTATGAAATTGATCAATTAAAATAAGATCTATATTAAAAGGAGGAGGCATACGTAAAAACATAAAAAGAGAGAAATAAATGAAAAACAAAATGCAGTGCGATCAGTTCAACACAGTGCAGAAACAATGCTCAACCAGAGAGTGCACAGCTAAACAGATGCTCTAAGCCTAAAGTACTTCAGCCACACTTAATTGTATGAATTTCATTGCATTAAAAGTGGTGTCAAAACAATTGCCGCTTAACCTTATCTTCAATTTTAAGGGCTTAATTGTCCGTATACTTTGTGAGGCCACTGTATGCGTTGCAAACGTTCATGTGCAGTATTATTTTAAATTGGGAATGTCTTTGATGCTGTTGTATTTGTAGACCTCAGAGATTCTGCGACAGCTGCACACACGGATGATGGTGAGGAAGTATGTGCGGGGAATTACGCCACAAAAAAAAGCACAGGTCACTATCACTGTTGTCACATGCTTTTGTGTCTTAAAATACAGTTTCAGCTCATTTCGCCATGTTTAAATTTTGGCTGATAATGACAATGAAGACTGAATGCTATGTCTTTTCACAGCTGCAACAAAAAGTAGTAACCAGTGGCATCTTTAAGGGAAAGAAGGACAGCTACCCTTCGAGCGTTGCTGTTCCTTTTGTGGACACTAGAATCAGTCAGTACAGTTTACAAAAACAGCAATTAGTTTTGCACTGATCCTTTTGTGTCTTATGCACTTCCTTTCATTCACCAGATGAACAAGACATCAATATGAGGGTTCTTCAGACTATACGACATGAACGTATCAAGGTAATAAGAATCTTTCTAATGGATGAGGCCCAATTGTCAGTCATGCATAATAGAAAAAGAGCCTGTTTTTCAATGTCACCTAAACACACTTTCTCTCTCTGCAGTACAGCGTTCCTGTGGTGAAGTATGACAGAAATGGATTTAAACCCAGACCAAGGCAACTTATTCTCACTCAGGCTGCTGTATACCTGGTAGAAGAAGCTAAGATCAAGCAGAGAGTAGACTATGTTTCTCTAAAAGGTGGGTCTCAAGGGGTAGATAATATGTGTAGTCACTCAGTGAAGTAAAAGAACATTACAGCACTTTTAAAGATGTCTCCTTTTAATTATTCCCCTGTAGCATTCCTCAAGATTTTCACCGGGGCAGTATCCTCAAAGGTACAACTTTGTACCATATTTACCCCTAAAGGGTGCATATTAGTACCTTAAGGGACTACAATGTACTCCTAAGGTACCAATATGCACCCTTTAGAGGTAGGTATGATAGAAAGGTGTACTCTTGAGGGCATGTTGTACCCTTAAAAGTAAAATTTGACACTACTGAGAAGAACTACAACTTTTCCCTATTGAGAACATTGGGGTCAGTAAGATTTTTTAATGTTTTTGAAAGATGTCTCTAATGCTCACCGAGGCTGCACTTATTCGATTAAAAATACAGAAAAACTATACTATTACATTTTAAAATAACAACAACTATATAAATAACATTTTATAAATAACTAAATAAAGCTGAATTTTTAGCAGCCATTACTCCAGTCCTTAGTGTCACATGATCCTTCAGAAATCATTCTAATATTCGGATCTGGTGCTCAGGAAACATTTATTATCATCAAAGTTGAAAACACTTGGGCTGCTTAATATTTTTGTGATACATTTTTTTAGGTTTCCTTGATGCATAGAGTTCAAAAGAACAGCATTTCTTTGCAACAGAAATCTTTTGTAACATTACAAATGTATTTACTGACAGTTTTGATCAATTTAATCCATCCTTCCTAAACAGAACTATTTATTTCTTTAAAAAAACGTACAGACGCCAAACTTTTAAATGATAGTGTATGTGTGTTTTATTGTAACATGTATTTGCAAAACAAGAGAGAACCGGGTCCACAGTGAATTTATCTTGTGTACACAGGTGCTTCTCTCAGTAATCTGGGTGACTCTGTTATGATCCTCAACGTTGCCTTGAATGATCCAAAACAGAAGGTGAGCAAACCAGGCTTCACGCTAGTAACACTACTTACTATGTCACGGCCGATGGCCTTTAGGTAATCTCTAAATTATTTCACAATACAATGTTACACAAATCCATACATCATTTCCAAGTACTAACATATGTTCTTTTATCTGAGGGTGACATGGTACTTCAGTGTGACCACCTGTTTGAAGCTTTGACCAAACTGGCTATGATTGCAAACAAGCAGAATAACATCAAGGTTGTTCAGGGAAGGTAAAAAGGCCAACATCACTTATTTTCCAACCTGTTTCCAACTGTTCATTTGGACACATGTTAACATTTGATCTTCTCACAGCATAAAGTTTGAGATCCAGACAGGCAAGGAGGGCGGTGTGGACTTCAGTACTGGCCAAGAGCCTATGATTTATAAAGGCAACAATGGACATCTGATGGTGGTAAGTGGATATTTTCGTATTTCTGCTTAATTTAACATTATTGCTCCAGTACTCAAGACTCTTTCATTATCAAAGGTGGCTCCGCGGATCAAGTCCCGATGATCCAAAGGAGGTCACCAAGTCTGTGTATATTTCATGAGAGAAACCCTTATGGAAGATGATATCTTCCTCCATCATCCCATCCCAAACTGTGACGCACATAATTCAACGGACCACGCACTGCTCAGTATATGGAGATTGAAAGAAGCATGCTGCGTACAAATGGAAAGTTACAGCTAAATAGTTATTTAAAAAATATATTTTGTTTTCATAAATGCTGCCCTCCAGGTTCCCGTTGTTACTTGATCACATTTCTTGTAAATTTAATATTTTATTTGGTCATGTTCATGCTTTGTTGATGAGCCATATGTATAATATTGTTTTATACAAATGCATGCAAACCACAGTAATAAAATAAAGCAAATGCGCAGTTTGATCTACAAAATTTGTAGAAATCTTTATTTGTGATAACGTGTGTATAAATAATTTGTATGTAAAACATTTGTATTCATGTGCACGTCTGTACAAACTTGTCTACAGTATTACAGATTTCATTTTTTTTTTTTGTAACATACCTTTAATAAAACTAATGATCACAAACCATCTGTCTGCAGCAGAGGAGAGCCCGTACTCTCGTACTTCCTGGAGCTTCTTTGACGTGGTCCAGTCTCTGATTACACTCTCATACTTGGTGTACATTTCTCAATTAGCGATATAAGTTACATCCGAACGCTTCTGACTACATCTCCGTTTCTTTACTTGTATGCGATCACTTACAAAACCCAGAAGCGTAATTAACTTGATGGAATTTAATACAGTGCAGTGGAAAGGTATTTAATAGCATAATCTTTTTTAGTGATTGTAGCTAAACTTCACAAATTACTGGCTTTGATTATCTAAAACAGTGGTTCCCAACCCTGGTCCTGGAGGCACCCCAACACTGCACGTTTTGCATGTCTCCTTAAATGAACACACCTGATTCAGGTCATCAGCTCATTAGTAGAGACTCCAAGACCTGAAATTGGTGTGTCAGAGAAAGGAAATATGCAAAATGTGCAGTGTTGGGGGGCCTCAAGGACCAGGGTTGGGAACCACTGATCTAAAAGTGCCTCCTCATGTACGAGTGAAAACACCATAACACTATACTGCCCTCTATTGGCCAAACTCATACAGACCTCTCAAAAAAAATCCAGCACATACAATCAAGTGACAGCTTGCGTAAATGTTTTTGCACAAGCGTAATAAAATGAAAATTGACAGATTAATAATTTGTATGACACTCTTCTCTAATGACTGTAAAAATAGGGGAGTTATGGATTGAATGCTTCTCATAAGGCAATAATAATATCCTCCATTGAATTCACTGATCACTTGACTGTTAAACCACACCGACACTTTCACTTGAATCTCAAATCAAATCTCAGTAACACATAATATCAGCACTGTGAAATCCTGGCTCCAACACTTCAGTTCAAAGCGACAAAGCAAACAAAATAAACAAGAAAAGAGGGATAAACTAAACTCAAAAGCCACAAAAATCCAATGTCTAATCACACAATACACAACAAAAAAATCTCTCAAAACAGAACAGTATTAACCTATAAGGCACCAGGAACCCTACAGTCTTCACTCAAACAACAACAAAAAAGCGGTAAATAATATCAACTACAAAAATACTACGGCTGACAACCAAATCTGGAAAATATCCATTCGCTGCAAAACTACAATGAAATGACAGTTTAGCTGATCGACTTGATATATTAATTAGAATTTGCTTTATGATTAGCAAATAGGGCAAAATGTTCAGGGAATGTCATGAATGCAGTAAAACTAACCATCCGTTGTGCACTTCGGTTCACATTTACACCATCATAGTATCTTTTTAGTGAGGTCCTCAAAAGTGCACAACTGAGGTTTGAGGTCAATGCTGCATTGCCCTATATGCTATATTCATATAACATTATCAATACTAGCGATTCTGTGAGTATTCGATTCTCTTTAAAGAAGCAGACTCGGGATAAACTTAACTGACGTGTCTGTGTGCAAATAGAGTGGTGTAACTGAAGCGCTGGTAGGCAGTTGTTAAGGCACTGAAAAGAGGAGAAACTGTAGAGTCACTGGTGGTGGTGAGTGCGGTCATCAGGGCGCTTGATATGGATCCTCCGCACTCTTTCAATGCGCTCCCTCTCTTCATCCTCATCGATGTGGTGGGAACGACCTGCAGCGCCACCTGTGGCCTCCAGCAGTGCATTGTCAGGTCCGCGGCCATCTTGAGACTCATAGAGCAAGATGTTGAGGGTCTCTTCATAGATGCGAGCCTCTGGGAACTCAACCTGTGATGGGAGGAAATAAAAAAAGTGTGTGATATAAACTTATCAGAAGCATTTAGGACAAGCTTTTAGGACAAAGAACTGCCATCTACAAGATAACTCTGCTTTGGGGTTTCTGCATGTTTTGTAACGGTCAATTTGAGACTTTAAGACCAAGAAAAAAAATGTAATGAATAAATTGAAGGGAACAGAACAATACATCAATATCTAAATGTAAAATCCTGGGGGGCACTTGATGAGTTGTATTACTTATTATAGTAATTTATTACTAAGTTTCAATACTGCCAAGTTTGATAATATAACTTTTGATAGAAATACATTACTTTTTATTTATTTTACATAAAAACCCTTTACTCTACCTTATGATAACATTGCAAAAAAGCAATAATTTCCAATGCAAATGTCTAAAGTTTTTTTAAATCAAGATACATTTACTTGAGAATCATAACATAACATGACATAAGCAGTCTTCTTTTAATCCTAACCTCACTTAAATTTCTTATGTATAAACCCATTAGATATTTGAATTGAAAAAAAAAAAAATACTGAGGTATAGATTTAGTTTTTGCAGTGCATGCAACATTTAATACTGTGACTAAGACTTTCTGCTTAATTTGTAAAAGGGCAAATTAATATCTTTTAAGACCCGCAGACACCCAGAAACAAGAGATTTCATGTTTCGAAAAAAATAGAAGATGCTAGACTGTATAAAAAGATGCTAGATTGTATTGATTTTAACCATGTGACAGACAGGTCACCCTTTACCTTTGTCTGCTTCTTCTCAGTAGCGTAGACTATTGATGTGCAGCACACCTCTGCAATCTTCCTGCCCTGGCCGTAAAAGGACCAGCAACAAATCTCATCACCAATCACATCCTTGATAAAGAGCACTCGGCCATTGAACCTCAGAGACAGCTTGTCAAACAGCTCAATGTTCTTTAACATATTGTCATCAGAGTTGCTACAAAGAGAAAGAGCAAATTGATCAGGTAAAAGCTCAATAGTAAGCTTCCCAACAACTCATACCTTATAAGCAAATTAAACATTTACCTTGTATATGAATATTTATTGTTGCTCCTGTTGTACAGCAGTTTGACTGTAGGCTGCAAATAAACAGAAAGACAAGTCACGGTTCTGTTCTCAGTGAAAGAATATTGTATTTCTTTGAAATTGACATGATAAAGCATTTGTACCTTATTAGCAGTGGCAATGAGCCTCTGTTCCTCCTTAGATGATGTCACCAGTGGAACTTTACAGAATGGTTCGTATGCATCTTTGTTCTGAAAACATTTGTAAATCAGAAATGTAGAATGCAAGTCTAAATTAAAAAAAAAATAAAAAAAAAAATATATATATATATTTTCTTAAACATAATATGCTTAATTAAAGGGATAGCCAAAAATGTTAATTCTGTCATAATTCACCCCCCCCATCTCATGATGTTCCAAAATCATAAAACTTTTGTTCTGCTTCAGAACACAAATGAAGTTACATCAAAAGTTTCAAAAAGAATTGGGTGGTTTAATCCAAGTCTTCTGAAAAGACACAATCACTTTATATATGATGATGAACATTTAATTTAGACTTTTATTCACATATAAACACATACATTAAGAACATCAAAAATGGTAAATGAAAGCTCAAATGTGCTTGCTTGATGCGCAGAAACCAACAAGGTTCATTCTCATGTGTCACACAAGTACATTTGAGCTTCTGCAAGAACCAGTGAGGTTTGTACTTGTGCATCGTGCACATACAGTTGAGCTTCTGTTTATCATATCTGGTGTGCTCTATATATGCGTGTTGATCAGTTTTTATATGTGAATAAATGAAATTGATTTGATCTAGTATATTTCTGGTATATCTCTAGGATATTTAAAGGGGTCATATGATGCGATTTAAATTTTTCCTTTCTCTTTGGAGTGTTACAAGCTCTTGGTACATAAAGAAGTATGGAACGATATTCCGGACAATTTTCAAATAGAATAGCAAATTGTATTTTCAATTGTGTTTTCACTATGTGGACGCATAAATTGTGACATAATCCAAATGCAATTGCAAATCCTGCATTACCGTTTGCATTTTCGCTTTCGCGAACGCACAGTGACTGCCAAATTTCAAATGAAAAGGCAAAGTCCATTTGCAGCTGTATTTCCCATGTCTTAGGAGTAACGAGCCTGTCATATTTAAATAGCAATATTAATTACCACGTCTGCTTTTTCACTCTCGCTGCGTCGCGCATGTAACGCCAAAACTCAAATGGAATCGCAATTCCTTTTGCATTTGAATTTCCAATGTCTACATGGAAAGCTGCCAATCATCGTCAGGGGCGGGACTATACTATGGGGCGTGTTTGTATTGGGAGGTGACGTCACTCACAGACGACCGTGCCGAATGCTCTGATCAATGGAGGTAATCGGTAAAGGCTCCGCTAAAGGCAGCTACCAATCAGTTTCGTACCTGTGTGAATGAACAGACAGTGAACCCTTCTTGGCACAATACATTTCTTTTTAGCAACATCATATGACCCCTTTAATAAGATTTATAAAGATAGATAGATATTTCTATCTAAATTTAGATTCTATAAATCTATATTTTGATTTTTTTACGCATTGCATCGATACTTTGAATTGTCATTTGATTGAGCTATTGTTACACTCCTAATAAATGGAGCAATAGAAATCTCTCAGGTTTCATAAAAACATTTTCATTTGCATTTTAAAGATGAACAAAAATGGGTTTGGAACAAGAAGTAAATGATGACAGAATTTTCACTTTTGGGTGAACTATCCGTTTGAATGTACTCTACCTGTAATGCCGCCTGACACTCATCCACCAGGCCCTGCACCAGGTAATACTTTGCCTCTGCCAGTAACTCCTCTGTCTCCCTCCGGCTCTCAGGTAATGGGACGACTCCGTCTCTCAGGTAGTTCAGAATGGTCCCAAAGTGCTTCCCGCACCTGTCAATCAGAATCCAGCCTGGAGAAAGATCAGAGGTGAAAAGTCTGACTTGGGCACAGCAGAAGCACACATTTGTATCGATATGGTTCATAATATTACGTGAATGCTTCTTCAGTAGTATTACAGTACATCTACCTTCACTATCTGTAAGGACCTCCATACGGCCACTAAACATGGCCTTCAGCATGGTGTCCTGCTTGGTCAGGGTCTGCATAGTGGTGTAGTACAGCGCTCCCCCGACATTCAGCTTCACATATTTGGAACTGGGACTGGACCCCTTGAAGGAGGTGGTCCGTGTTGTAGCTGCCGGCACAGCCGAGCTCACCACACTTTCTCCTGACATCTCTTCCTGAAAATCAGGTAGGAAAATGCAGGACTCATAAAATAGATAATACATATATACAGTATATATACATACATACATATAGAAACACACTCTTTTCTCTGTATGTACATTAGACACTTTTTATAAACACTCCATGCTACAAAGACTCAATATGATAATATAGGTTTACTTGTGCATTGCACTACAAATCATCTTGCACTATGCACTGCTTCCCCCAAAATATCTCTTTTGCACAATTTCATGTACAGTATTTATGTAAAGTTCTTGTACAGTCTCAGATCATGCGTGTTTTATAGTATAGGCCTATGTATAGTCAGACGGTTAACTGTTAACTATGTTTATAATTGTTTTTCTTAACTTCTATTTGTTTACGTTTATGTTATGTTAACTAATATGTAGCACCGTGGTCCTGCGAGACACGACATTTTGTTCCACTATTATGTCCACACATGTAGCAGAATGACAATAAAGCTCAACTTGACTTGACATTTCTCTCATGGGATTAATAGTGTATGCATCTACATTGCACACACACACGCAACCCTATAATTATGAGTTTTATGAAATGTGTATGAACACAGTGAGGGTACATTTCTTCAAATGACAAATAAAAAAATTAGTTCTGAATATAAGAGATTCAAAAAAGTTATGCACATATTCAAGAGTTTTAGCTAGGCGCACCACTTCTCACATTCCCACAAGTCTCTTAAATTCTATTAAATGTAACACAAACTGATTGTAAAACATTAAATCGTGATGATAACTCATCTCTCCTTCAACGAGAAACTCGTTCACAGCACAATGAGACTGATTTAAAGACAAAACCTGCTGTGATGGTTTTTCTTAAACCCAGTAGATTTGGCTCATTTAATTCCTGTACATATTTGTTTTGCGTATATACATGATTCGTA